AAAAAAAAAAAAAAAAACCAAAACAAAAGGTAGCAATAGTAACATCAAATTTGGAAAAACTAATTACCGGGACAATGGTGAGCGTCAATGGCCTTGACGTAGACAGTGGAGGCTGATCCAGAGGAAATTAAAGTGAGAGAGAGCGAGTACCAAGGACCGATGTCGAGGACACGAAGGAGGGAGAGGTCGAAGCCGGGGAATTTGCAGGGGAGGAGCTTGGCGGTGAGGCGGGAGCAGTAGAGGAGGCCGCGCTGCCAGGAGGAGGAGAGGCCTGCGGTGTGGTCGGCGTGGAGGTGGGTGAGGAAGTAGGCCTGGCTGCCGGAGGCCCATTTGTCCACCGATATCAGGCCGCTGTCCATCTATCTGGATTTGGGGCGGGCTCCGGTTTCGCAGATCAGTTTGGGCGAAGGGGAAGAATTTGTGGGAATTATTAATTACTCAGTGGGATGTTTTCGGAATTTGGACAATTTTTTTCTTTTTTTTTTCTTGTGCAGAGATGTTAAATAAAACAAATGGCTTGTTAAGGTTCGGTTCGGTTCGTAATTTTAACCGAATTCAAACTTGTTGAAAGCTCGTTTAGTTAACGAGTCGAACTCGGTTTGGTTCATTATAACTCAAAAATAATTATTTTATAATTTGGCTTGTTAGTATCGATAAACGAGCCGCACTCAAGCTCGATTGATGACTCGTGTTTTGTTCAACTCGTTGAAGGTTTGAGGCGGAGATCGATATCGTTCGGCTCGTATTTACATCCTTGGTATTGACAAACAAGTCTCATTCGAGCTCGATTTCTGACTTTTTTTGTTCAACTCATTGAAGGTTTGAGGTGGAGCTCGATTCGGTTCGGCCATTTTACATCCCTGAAAAAGTAAATTTTTTGCGGTGCCAAAGTGCAAAACAAAACTTAGCTATCTCAACCGTTAACGAGTACATGAACTCTTTGAATTTATCAAAGGAAATGAGTTTTTTGAATTCGTACACCCCTTGAAGTCAAACGCTAGATATGACTCTCTTCAAGATCTTCATACTCTTGGATTTCTCAATGAAATTAAGTGCTCGGGACTTACGATTCATAAATTGAATATGAAGGTCGACACTTCATTGATATTGCTCAGAAAAATTGATCACTTCATGAAGATGTGTAACAATACACATTTGGTTATACAAAATTTTAACCAAAGCTGGTGATAAAGTTAATATTCCTAGACTCGCAATCATACCATCCGATTTGAGGGTACCGTTCAATGTTCAGCGCAAATAGTTTCCTTTCATGGTTTCATATGTTAATGACAATCAATAAGAGTGAAGGTCAGTTTCTGTCGCACGTCGATTTACTACTGAAGAGCTATGCATTCAGTCATGGACAGTTGTACGTGGTTCTTTCCAGAGTCACGAGTCAGGGGAATTTGAAGATAATGATTTGTAGGGATGGAATCTGACAATAGGAATTTGGCATTTTTTTCAACCTTTCACTTTTATATAAAGGATAATATAATACTTTTGGTACCTAAACTATGAAACACATCTTAATTCTTAAGATGCGGAAATTAATGACATTTAGACCGTCCCTAAAGTGACCTCGAAACATAGACATTTAGACTGTCAGCACACTTTCTGCAAGTATATTTTAGTATCACATCACTTAGACAAATGTACAACAATTCAAATAGTTTGCTTGAAAAATCCGAGGTTATCAGATTTTATGTGGGTACAACCGTCTTGACGAGATGAATCCAACAACGGATCATTGGGCTGAAAAAGGTTCGATGACTCATGAATTCAAACTAGGCTAGTTTTGTACTAAGTTACCTTTTTTCACCCTAATTCTGGAGCATATTTTATCCCATTTATGAGCTGGGTACGTTTGGCAAGTTCTGTTTTAAGTTACCTTTTCCCGGACTCATGTTTCGTAATTCGTTGTGTTGTTTCACTCTGAATGTTCGATATGTGTGTTCAATTTTTCGTAATATCTTCTTCTCGAGCTTCTTTCAACTATTTGTACCGCACAATAGATATGATCAAGAAAGGAAAAACGGAACAGGTAAGAAATGCAGATCATCTCAGCATATAATATAACACTAATTAAAGTTTTAGAGAGGGGCGATAAGAGTCGGGTTTAGAGCCGTTTAAACTTTATTCCATTGATAGATAGAACATACATACACGCGCAAGTAGCAAACACAAAGACCAGAAGAAGACAGTATATCGATATCATATCGCGTGATATATTCTTTATTCTTAATTGCTACCGTCTTTCAAGAAACTAACGAAGAACTAACAATGGTAAACGCATTTGCAGCAATGTCGTCGGTTTCCTCTGTTTCCGCAAATCATGCAATTCGCTGCATGAGTGTTTTCGCTAACGGTATCCCGCCGGCACGGATCCAAACAGCTATTAATGTTTTCGTTGGAACAGTTGGCTACATCGATGAATTTACCGCATTGCTTAGGCATTCCTGATTGAAAAAATAATTAAAAATAAAATTGCAAACTTAATTTTTTATTTATATATAGCGTGAGAGTGAATATAATAATAGACACGAACAAGAAAATAAATTACCAAAGGGAAGGAAGAGCAATATCATCAGGAAGAGCAATATCATCAGGAAGAGAGTAGCCGTGAACAACCTAAAAGATGGAGCCATTTTTGTTAGTTTGTGTATAATGGAATAAGTGTTATCTTTTGTGAGGTAACTTGGAATTATTTGAGGCCTATATTTATATTGGGTTTCAACTTCAAGCCCGAGATTATTATTATTGTTAATTAATATTATTATTATTATCCATTGAAAAGTTAATATTACAAAAATTATTTTTTATTAGTGACGTCATCTATGATTACTAGCTTTTTTTAATTGTAATTACTCGTTCACTTTGGACTAAAGTTGTTTGTAGGTTCAGTTTAGGGGTTCGTGACTCAAACATAAAAGTTTTTTGAGTGATAAATATATTACTATACAATGTATTTTTTGAGTTAAATTTAGTTTATTGGATAAATTAAGTGAGTTAATAAGATTGAAAAAAAGTTGATTAAGTTAAAAATTCTGATTTGGTTTTCAATTTGTAAATGTATATGGTTTAAATCTTTTTTCACGTGTCTCGGAAACTAAAGGAACTAGCTCTGTTATACCTGCATGTGCATGCGGGAGCGACGTTTTTGGTCGGACAAATAGAATATCTACCGAAGTGGGACAGGGGCCTTATAAAGAGAAGCGAGGTGCGAACGAATGTGAGAGGTACGAAGTGCTCGACTGAGTTGGAGAGGAAGGAAAGTAATTGACGTTCGGAAGGACGGACTTTAGGGAAGGTTAAAAATTCTGATTTGGTTTTCAATTTGTAAATGTATATGGTTTAAATATAATAACTAAAATTAATCTTATATAAAAGTAATTAAATAATAATTATCGAGCAGGATTGAGTTGTTTTTTTAGCTGCTCGAGCTCGAGCTCGATTTTTAGGCTCGAGCTCGAGTCGATAAAAAATTACAATATCTCGAGCTCGACTCAAAATCAAAATGCTCGAGCTCAGCTCAAGGTCAGCTTGAAAATTTTTAAGTGGAAAGGTAAAATTTTTAAGCTCTCCTTGCTCGACCTAATCTCTGTTCCCAACGACCTGAGCTGATCTCACTCATGCTCCATCAACCCGAGCTAGGCAAGACCCAAATATGCTTGATGTGATCGAGCTGCCATTAAACAGAGCGAGCTCCTGAACCAAACGAGCTCTTGGCAAACATATGATATACCATATCATATTGCTGCACAAAACAAAGGCTGTTGGGAAAATTCGTTCCTATTTAGCCACAACTTTCGCACATCCACACGCTATGAATGTGTAAATTTTATACAAAAAAACCCCCAATGGGTAGGGTTGAACTTTCCCCACTCCTTGGAACATTGAAGTGAATGCAACCGTCCACCGGTGGCTGACCTTGACATTTCACAACTTAAAAACAAAAATCTATACAATATCATAAAACTGCAAATCGGAGTGCAAACAATCGCGGTTGCCATTCACCGGGTCCAGAACAAACTCAAGTCAAACGACGCCAAACTCGGACAACGAAACGCAAGTTGGTGGTAAAGACGCTTCACATATGACAAATAGGTCACAGGTTCTAGTATCCAAAAAGAGGAAGTGAACACTATCAATCATTTTTATTAAAAAATAAATAATAATTAAAAAAAAAAAAAGACGACGCAAAACTCAACCCAACATGGAACCCAAAAAAACCCAGAATCCAAACAATCAAGTACGAGATAAACCAGCATAAAACGCACGAGGCAGTGCCCGGAACACGCGTTTATTCTACACACAAACACCCCAAAAAAAAAAAGACGATAGCAATGACATGCGATGCAAACAATCGCGACATTTCACAACATAAAAGCAAAAATATACACAACACAAATGACAATATTATAAAACTGCAAATCGAATGCAAACATTCGCAGCTGCCATTCACCGGCGAAAACCAAAATCCAAAAAGATCAAAATCCAAGATAAACCAGCGTCAAAAAATGTACGAAGCAAATCCCCCAAACAACACACACTTATTCAACACACAAAACACAAAACAAAAACCCACCCGGCATTTTCAAAGTCCTCCAAGATTCCCTTCACTCCGGCTCCTCGGAAAAGAGAACTCACCACCACTCAAACCCGTAACCTTACCACCAACATCAACAATCCCTTGCCCCTGACCACCACCCAACCTCACCCCACCACCGCTCGGCGGCAGCCGAGCTTGCCCCCTCCTCGTCCCCCCCACCGGGCCGCCCTTCCTCAAGCCCGAAATCCCGTGGGCCCCCTTCCTCGATGACTTGGCGTCCGGGCGGGTCCCACCCATACCCATACGGGCCGAGCGCTCGGCTGCATCCTTAGTGGTCCCAGCCTTGATTGAGTGGCGGTTGTAGTAGGTGAGGTTGGGGAGAAGGCTCTGCACATACTTTCGGAGCTGCTCGTCCCCGACGTTTTTCTGGGCCGGGTTGCCCTCGAGGCTGAGGGCCTGCAGGCAGTTGTAGTTGGCCGCCAGCTGGCCCAGACACTTGGCAGTGGAGATCTTGTTGAAACGGAGATCGAGCACGTTCAGCTTCAGCAGGCGGTGGAGACCTTCCACCTCGCTGATTTTGTTGCCCGCCAAGTAAAGCTCTTTCAGTGAGGAACATGCTGCCAGTCCTGTGATCAAACGAGTCGAAGTTTTTGCATATTTTATGTAAAAATTGTAGTTAAACGTATGAAACGATCGTGTAGGGTCGATAACTTCAAACAATTTATTAACGTTTTCATATGTAATCTGTTGTTTGACAAAATATGCATACAAATGTTAAACCGCAATGGATGAGGAGTTTTGTCTTCTATA